TTTGTTAAAGGGAAATAAATTAAACATAGCAAAGACTCATCAGAAAATTGAAGTCAGTGGCAAAACTTCTGTGAACTTCTGGGAGTTCAGTTTCGCTGTAAATGTGTTTTGGCAAGCACTGCTGGATGTGAGGTGTGCTGTAGGGGAGCATCTTCAAAGCTGGTTTGTGGACCCTAATAAGATGGGAAAGAGGATAGAGGCTGCGTGCTCCGGTGAGTGCGGCGTTGGATGTGGAGCTCTGGTGAGTGCGACGTTGGATGTGGAGCTCTGGTGAGTGCGACGTTGGATGTGGAGCTCTGGTGAGTGCGACGTTGGATGTGGAGCTCTGGTGAGTGCGGCATCGGATGCGGAGTTCTGGTGAGTGTGGCATCGGATGTGGAGCTCCGGTGAGTGCGGCGTCAGATGTGGAGCTTGGGAGACACAGTTCTGTTCTTGTGAATGACTGTAGGTTGAGGGAGACCAAATAATTTCCCTTGTTCTGCCTTAAATAACATTTTTCCTGAAATGTACTCTCAAATTTAATGGTGAAAAAAACTAAACACCCACATAAAGACCTGAGACACCTCACTTTTTAAGTTACCATTTTCAGTGCAGCTCGAGTCAGCTTCAGAGTTGTGTAAAAAAACAAAAACGCACCACGACCACCAAAACAAACTAAACTGGAAATGGAAGTTTAATAAAATCATTCTTCTGGCATATATTATGGACCCAGCTGATGTGGACTGCATGAACAGGATGTATTTGAAAGCAAATGAGCTTTTGAAACTATTCCCTTTATTTGGGTATGCAAAAAATAATTGATTTCTGAAGAGAAAACTTTTCAAGATGATATTGAGTGGTTGACATTTTTTAAAGTTTAAAGTTATTAATACTCTGGTAGGTGATTTGGAGTTCTGCTTGTCTCATGCCAAGAGCTGCAACTCTTTGCTAATGAAATTTTCACCCTGTTCCCTGAATTACCGTGTTAATACTAATGTCCAATTAGGATTAATGACAGGCCTTGCCTCGGGACCAGAAGTGAACGGAAAGTGGCTTCTAATGAAACTTTGTTTTTTAACGTTTCTATGAGTAGATATTTGATCTGCTTCTGAGACTGCGTGGACACCGTGAGCCTTTTTAACTCGCTTGTCAGAGCTTTAGTTGCAGTGGGAACTGGCTGGTTTGTGGTGGTTGGATTGGCCATTTGGAGAGTGATGCTTATAGCTTCAAACATGGTTCTCTGCTTTCGTGTATAGTTACCAAGTGACTGAGCAGTTCTGCTATTGCTCTTATTGCTGTTCCTCTCTTGCTCTTTTATTCGCTTGTCTTGTTTTAAATTCAGATTGAGCCATCTGATCCAGGACCGTGTCATCTTGTGTACTTGCACAGACTGGAATACAATGGGGCCTGGTTACTAATTGGAGCTTTTGGGTGCTCAAACAATAGAGATAATTAGTAATAAATGTCCAGCTGTAATAGCAAGTGGTGTTCACAGTGCGCAATACAACGCCTGGCAGTTCAGCTCCTGCATGCTGCTTTTTTCCGATTGAATGTGGCTGAGAAATCGTCGTTCTTCTTTCTTTGCCTCTGTGGCGTTGCCCAGAGGCGCTTTCTCAATTCTGGTGTAAAGGCTTATGGTGCCAATACCTTGATTAACTCCTTAAAATATAACGATCGGAGCACATCCAAATAATCCTCAGAAATGCACTGATCAACAGTCTACCAGATTTCTCCAAGAAAGCTTCAGGTGTCTTCTGGAGAAAACTTAAAGCTTGACATTAAGCACAGGAAGTTACAATTTTTGGTTTAAATAAGCAAAGAAGCAAAGAAACCCAACCAACCAATCAAAACCCGTCATGAATGAATAAAGTCATTTTCACCACAACCTTGACACGGTTGCCGATCTTTTACTTCTTGCACGTTTTTATTTACCAGCTGCTCACACAGCACTTCAGGTTGTCAGTCTGTCCTTCACCAAATTTCTTCTCCTGTGTTGGTAATAACTAGAATTTTGACAAATTCTCTTGTTTGGACCACATTTGGAGCTTTGGGGCTTTTTTCCCGTAGTGGAGCTGTTTTCAGGCTTTTGGCTTAAAAACACGGAACAAACAAAACTCTCTTCAAAACAGACATATCTGGGTCAGTGTAATGTCTTTCTCATGCAGAGAACTTGTTCAGCTTCTAAGTTAGGCAATATATTGTCATGGGACTCATGACAAATGGGTTTACATTAAGGTAATTTATTGTCCAGAGACCAATTTCTGTATTTTTGTCTTCAGAGTAAGCACATGATGTCTCTCAGTAGCTCCCTGATGTAAGTTGTAATTGTGATTCCTGGGGATCTTTTGCATGCAGTTGTAAGACTTAGCATTGTCCCTGTCATTTAGAATTTATGGTATGAACAGCTAACAGTGATGAATTTTAAAAAGGGAGATCCTGGAAGAAGAGATGTGATGGTAGTGCTGTGGTTTGAAAGAGAAGGAATCCACCACTGGTGCTCGGTGGGCTGTCCAGGTACCGCCTCTGCAATGAATTGCCGTAGATTTTATTTTGAGTGAAAGATCTGGAGAAAGTGGTGGTGGTGTTAGTCTTAGTTTTGATGGTAATAGATTTTTATGAAATCTTCTGTATGTTGTCTGAACCTGTAGGTGTTTTTAGGCTGAAAACACAGCTTCTAGCTGTTTGTGTTTTGTGGGATTTTTGTGGAGGGTTTTTTGTTCTGGTTTGGTTTGGTTTCATTTGTTTTTTTTCCCCAAAGCAGTTGTAAGATCTCTTATTGTACCACATTTGTAATGGTGATGCAAGTATGGGTTTTTTTAAGCGTTAGGTCTCTTGAAGCTTTGGATGCTGTTTTGTCATTGAAGTGAGTTACAGTGAAAGCACGTACTTAAGAGCAGTGAATATGGGAGTGCAGAGATGGCCAATTCAGCTTATTTATTAAGTTAAAAGTAGTGCACAAAATTTTTTTCCTGTTGCTTGCACACCTCTTCTTCCCCTCCCAATGGCTTCTTTAATTTTTGAGGGAAACACAGCATGCTCTTTATAATTAGCTTTAGTTTTGAATAAATATACATGGTTTGCAAAATTAATGTTGTCTGTAGATGATTCTTGCTTCTGAGGAACTGGCGCCAAGTTATCTAGCTGAACGTATATTGGATTTTATTTTTCATAAAGCATCTCATGTGCAGCTTCCAGCTCTCCTGATGTTGCTCTGATTTAATCTACTCCCCCGACTACGTTTTCTGCTCCCCCGACTACGTTTTCTGCTCATGTGTCTTTTTTTTCCCCTAACTGATATGTAACATCATGAAGTACTCATCTTGTGTGCGGAGAAACGCCAGTAGAGCTGATCTATAGTGAATTATGATCATGGACATGATACTGCAAGGAAGTATTTGTTGCGGCATGGGCGGTGGTGTGCTCCTGCAGTCAGAGCTGTGCAGACAAAGGCACTGCTGCCTGTGTGCACCGTTTGCCTGCGGGCTTTCTGGGGGTGCCTGCTGCTTCGTTTTGACAGCAGAGATCCGGTGGGCATTGCTTGTAAGAGCAAGGGCAAATTTCAGAAAAGATTGCTGATGGCTTGTTATTTCTTCATAACTAGGACTTTCCAAGGAGAAATGGATGAATTACAAAAAGTACTGTTTTTTCCTGCCGCATATATCCAAAGACTTCCGAAAGTGTGAAAAGTTCTTTGCTGAATGAGCACACAAAACGTGCTTGCTTTCTTTCAAAATACTCTGCTGTGGATGGTGAAATTCCTAGAATCTTTTAATCAAGTGTTTCCCTATTCTGTGCTGTCTAAGAAACTCTGCTGCAATCCGAATGGGTTGGTTGTTCTGGGAAGATTTGTGTCCCTTCCCTATTTACATCAGAGGCTATTCAAGAGCATTCAGTGTCATGAATGTTTGGAACCACTGAACTGCCTTGACAGTTGGTGGTGCTGCTGTTTGCTTCTCTTCTTGGGTTTCTGTGATTTTGACTTTTCACAGTAGAAGTTCTGTAATAACGCTTGTGGGTTTAGCACGTCTGTGTGAAAGGTGAGATGGAGGGATCAGGGAAAGCAAACTCAGCTTAGGGTCATGCTCTGCGTTGGTGTAGATCACCAATGCAGTTATGGCCTGGTGAGCCCTAAGTTCAGGGACAGCAACTCAGGTGGTAATCAGTAAAACTGACATAACTCGGGTTTGCCTGAGATGCTGCACTTTGACTTCTGAGTCTTCTTTGTCTCTCGTGCACTGATTTTTTGCACTGCTGTTAAACCCACGGTGTTTTCTGTATTAGATCACATTGTGATAACTGCATTGTTCTTTTCTCTGGTCTTACTAAGTGCAATCACATCTTGTTGGGATTAGCATAGAGAGGTCTAAATGAATGACTTGGGCTCCCAAATACTGTGATAATGTAAAGAAACTTTTAGAAAATGCAAATGTCTGCCACTGAACCAAGCTGACAAGTTGCTGGTGATAGTGCAGTAAGCTCTGTGATTTTTCTTTATGTGTAATGGGAGAAATGTACCTTGGCTAAATTTGGCAGTGTTTTAATGGAAAGTGGCTCAGCAGTTGGCTGGAACTTTGCAGTACTGCAGTGTTTGATAACCAGATAGACTGGAAAGGTGTTTCTTTTGAATGGAGTTCTGCAGATTTATACCAGGAAAAGTTCTGGCCCACTTGATAAAAGATAAACTGCAGTTAAAGATCTTTCAGCTGAATCTAACTGAGTTAGCCTCACGTATTTCTTATAGCACTGAAACTGCCATTATCTTTAATAGATTTTCAGGCATTGTTTTATCTGGACACAGCAATATTCTTTATATATATATATTCTGAACTTTTATTTTTGAAATATTTCTTTGAGATAATTGCATTGAACAAAATTGCCTGCTTTCCTGAAGCAATAGGTTTAAACTTTTAACTGTAAACAATCCTTCTAAAATGCTTTTTGATGGCTTTTTTATCATTTAATACAAATCAAAATAGTAGGGTATATCCTCTGAATATAAAGTCTTAACCTTGCTTTTGCAGGTACATGATGCTGATCGATGGCAAGAATGAAGTCTATATGGTTGATAGAGACAATTCAATTTTTCATGTATCTAATCTGGAATTTCCGTTCCGTAAAGATCTTCGCACACACCTAACAAACACTCTCCTGGACGGGGTAAGGATCACGCTGTATAATTGTCATAATTTCAGTGCCGTTCGCTTTTGTTCAGAAGCAAGGGCAAGTTTTTAGGCCTGGATCCGTGGATCATGAGATTTCAGGAGTAATATAGATTCAGTCACTGGCTGAATGTGGGAATTGCACTTCGTAGGTCATTTCTTATCTACGTGGCAGCAGTGATGGCTGCTCTGGGGGGAGCTGTTTGTCTTTGGAATAAATTGAAGTATTGAGATTATATTCTCTGAATATGAGAAAACACTTGAAGAGAAGCTAATGAAATAAATGCAGAACCTCTTGTTACAGCTTCATATTTTGATACAGTTAACACAGTCAATTTAATGTAGTTAATGTAAATATTTCTAAAATTTGATAAAATTTTCATCATCTCGTGATAGATTTTTATGAATTGATGTCTCTGCTTCTGTCACCTTTATTTTCAGCTCATCTAAATTACTGGCTGTGATTTAGAAGTGCTTTAGTTACATATGTTTAAGACTAAAACATTTCTGAGTTGTCATATTAATGTAAATGATGTAAACTTGCTACTGAACTTTGTAAGCTAGTTGTAAAACAAGCTCTAAAGCATCTGTATTTGTTGTTTGAAGGCTGGCTTGGAGTATTTTGGTAAACTCCTCAGAACAGTAGCCAGAGTACTCCTTTCTTGACCTTCCTATTTCAGATGAGCAAAATAACTGTGTTAGTTCTTACCAAATACCTGTCAATGCAGATGAACACAGTTTCCTGTCATGTTGCGGTGGCACTGGAGGCTCCCTACATTACTGTCACTCTTGCTGAAGTACTGAATATCTGAGGTGATCTTCCACATTGGTTCTCTGCAGCCAAATGCGCCTTTCAGATACAGGAGACCACACTGGTGGTGTTAACTTCCCTTTCTCAGGCCTTTCTTGTCAGTGCCCTTCTTGAAATGTCGCCTCTGTGAATGATCTGCCTTACTGAACATACATTTACATGTGAGGCCTGGATAGATCAAATGTGAGGATAATTATCGCAAAGAACAATGTGCTGTCTCGGGACAGAGGAGCAGATAATGGAATATTTTCCACCACCTCTGCTTCACTGGAAAATTGAGAGCGTAGTGCAAGAAATGCCGTGCTGTCAGCTCCGAAGTGGTTGCACAGGCTGTCATGTCTGGTAGCAGCCTCTTCAGCCAGGCAGCTTCCTAATGACATACATAACAATATTCTTCATGACATACATTAGGCTCCATGCTGTTGAAATAAAAAGCTCGGTACTGGTTTTTTTTCCTCCCCTGTTCTTTCTAAGGCTCTTGAGAAAGTGATGGCTTGCAGTGTCTGTGTGGTGCGATCCCAGGTTCTTCAGGGAAACTGCTGCTCTTTTGTGTGTTTCAGAACAGATGATTTAGTAAGGGTGGTTACTGTGTAAATGTTTGAAGACATGGATGTACATATATGAGATATGTGGGAGAGGGGCTCTAATCTGGTGTGTTAAGTTTCCCAGTTTTATAGTTTAAGTCTCTTAAGTGAAGCTGTGTGTTACCAAGGTCATGAACTGTAACTTCAATTAATGCGTTGTTTTGTAAAAGTTTGACTATTATGGTGCATTTCGGTATTTCACTTTATTTCACTTTTATAAAATTAGTCTTACTTTGATTTCCCCTCCCCAGTTTTTTCATGATGTGGAAAGCAAAATGACATTAGAAGAACAAGTATTGGTTGGATGAAGTACCTTGAGATGGAACTGAAACCTTTCAACGGATACTTTTCCTAGGACAGATTTCTGAATTTATTTAAGTATGATCAGTTTAAAAAAAAAAAAAAAAGCTGTTGATAAAGTATTTTTCTTTTCAATTGAAATTCTTTTCAACAGGTTTGAGAGTAAAATTTGCCCATTATTTGAAGCATCAGAGCAGCTTAGCTTTGTAATTGTATGGTTGTTTAATACTGGTGCCAAATGATAATTTCCGTAACTGTTCCTTTGCTCTGTACATATGCATGATTTCTTTCTTTCTTTCTTTTAATCCATGGGAATTAAAAATTGGCTTTTTTGTGTTAACATATTTTGCTAATTAGTGCTGAAGGGCTGTTGAAGTTAATCTTTTAATTATAGGTTGAAGGAGTTCATACTCACTGCCCTTGAAGTAGCTTCTCTCTTTCAGAGAATGAAAGTTTAGAATGAGGTGGCCCAATTTGCATTGCCTTGTGGTAATCTTAACAAGGAAGAGCAAAGAGAAAAGGCAAAAGTGGTATCAGTGCCATGCAGCAAAACAACTACTTGTGTTAGGACTACAAAAGATTAGGAAACTGCCCTTAACTTTATTTAGAATGGCAGTGTATATAAAACTTTCATAAAGGCGGTTTCTATGGATTCAGTGATCTATTAACTTGCTTTGAGGCTCCTGATGCAAGCCTTTCATGTGGCTGTCTCTGAGAATTTCAGATGCGTTTACGGTTCACTTCAGGCTGAAATGCCTTGCAAACAGCTCTTCACTGTGATCAGCTACGTCCTGGGTGATGGGAGAGCTCCTGCAATGCTCCCTGCTCATCTCCAGCTCCTCAGCTCTCCTTGTTCTCCTGCCATGGAGGAAAGTTTTCTGCAAAGCTCATTAAAGCTCATTTGAATATTACCTGCAGGTGACTGGCATAATATGAAGTATTTCTTTAGAAGCCAAGTGCTATCTGAGAGAATGCAGAGATTTTTGTTCAAGTGTTTTGGCTGTCTTGCAAGAAAACTAATTAGTTATTTTCAGGAACTTTCTTGGCATTCTGCTTAGCTTTGGAGCAGCTGAGTGGAAAATGCAGAGGCTTTCTTAGGCTTGAAATATTTTTTACATTTTTAATACAATTTTCTATATATTTTACTTTTATATGGCATATTTTTCACACCTGAAGACTCAGGATGCCCAAGGACTCCAAAAGTGAAGAGCGAAATTGAGATTTATTTATGTTTTCGTATTGGTATAGACCTCACTTATTTGTAAGGTCTTTCAGAAATGGCCTAACGTACAACGTTTTGAGTTTGCAAAGGCTGGCACTCTAAAATAGAAACGCAGGATTGTGTTGAAGGTGAACAGACAAAGGAAGAGGCACAGGAGGAGAAGGAACAATAACGAGATGTGTGATTAGATCTGATTCCATGCTCTGTCTCAGCAAAAAATACATTCTGCAAGTGGCTGGTAAAATGAGATCTTTTGTGTTTAAATTTTGGATTATTTTTAAGTCCAAGTTGCTTGCTAGATATGAGATTTAAGGAAAAAAGAGAAAGCCTGTGAGCTGCCAGTCCAGCTTTGTTCTTTTGATACTCGTGCAGCTGAAAGCTCTTAGAGCAGTGACTGTTCCAGGTACGCTGTAAGACCCTGCTCTGCTGCGCTGGAAGATTGAGGGGAGGAGATGACACCAGCACGGTTTTGCCACATTAGATTGAAGGAGCTGGCCCCTGGACCTTGTTCTGCAAGGCGGCAGGTGAAGCTGATACCTGAACTAGCAGCTAATGGACAAGTGGTAAAGATCATACTTCCTAGCAGTGGTGATTTTAAAACACACAATAGGGGCTGGGATCTACAAATGGAAATGGATGGATGCAGGTGCGTCTTGTGGATGCTCTTGTGTTCTGTTATCATGTCACGGGAGTGAGTATGGGTTTAAATTTTGAGTTATCTAAAAATTAACTTAAATATAGCCTTACAGTTTGAGGTTATTACTCAGATCAGAACAAGTGTGTCTGAATGTGATCAGTTTCTCAAACACTCCAGTTTCCTCCCAGTCTCTGAACTTGCCTTTGAGGTCTCTTCCCTGAGGTATTTTTCAGTTCTCGCAATTTCAAGGAAGATCCTGAAATCAGACTGTTAAATAATGATGTGTTAGAGTCTTTCTAACCTGAATCGTTCCTGTGATCACTTTACAGCTTTTGCCTTAATGACAGTTGTATTGGCGTAACTAATGGAGCAGGGAATGTTGTTGTCACGATGGAGCTGAGCAGCGCAGGAATTTGTCATCCCTACTTCTAAGGCATATCGTACTACTGTTCATTTGTTCTGCTAGCTGGGATGTGAATAAAGGAGTAGAGGTAGAGGAGGAGGAAGTGAGGATGTGAGGAAAGAAGCTAATTTGAGCAGTAATAGAGTCTAAAAGGTTTATACGTGTCTGAAGTAGAGAAGAAGTTTATTCCATGGTAAAACTGAACATTCCAGAGAAGGCTTAAAAATCATTATTGAATCTATTCTATAATTCTTCTTAAACTGAATATCCAGAGATTCAGATTTTGAAAATTAGCCATAAAATCTTCTAATACCAGGCGCCGAAATGTTTTCAGGGTTTAGCATACAAATGCTAGCTTTGCATCAAAGCTGAGGCTATGAGTGTGCATGTTGAGGAAAGGAGTCCTTAAATACATGTTCAGTTAAAAGTATTTTAAAAATTACTCTCTCCTGCTAACACAGTTGAAACTTTAGAGAAATATGGGAGCATTTTTTTGTTTCCATTTTACTTTGTTCCTCATTATGAATGGGAAAACACCCACCTGATTCCTGCCGGGAGGTCTGGGTTCACCCCCTTCCCTCATTATATCTTTACACACTTCCACGTTGGAACATCGTGCCTTCGTTCTCTCCTGAGGTGCACCTACTCCATCTCTTCTTGCAGTTACTCATACAATTTATTGTCAAAGCAGGCATTGCAGTGTGAATATATATATATATATATTCATGCATGAATAGATATATTTTATAATATATATATATTTTGTTTACTTTAAAACAAATCTGGTTTATAACTGCTTGCCTATTTTCCAAAGCCAAATGTCGTTGAATACTAGGTACAATTCAAGAAGCTTGGTATGTGAATAGACTGAAAATCAGTCTTACATTGAGAATCTTGCTTGGGTTTGCAAATTACAATTTCTAAAAGAAGTTAAAATGTTGGAAAACATAAAAATGCCACTGATGTAGCAAGAAGCAAACTGAAAAAACCCTAATTAGAGTTGATATAAGGTTGTCTTTTGGATTGATTCTTGAGCTCACAATTTTGTTTTCATCATATAATAGTGAAATGTCTTCACATTTTCCAAATGTTTTCATATCCTATGTGTGAAGATGGAATTTTAACTTGATATTGGCTGCAAAAGTCCTTAGCTGATACAACCTACTTATTTGCTAAGAATTGAGGGGGGAGGGCAGGCAGAAGATGGATTGCATTTAGAGAAATCAATATTTCCAAGTTTATCAAACTAATAAACTATGTCTGAGTTACAGATGTAAGCTCTAGCATGTAGGATGTGTATAGTTTTTTTGTACCGTTAAGTTCAGGAAACGCTTTTGTGTTTGGGCGTTGATCACTAAGTGTTTCCCCTTGCTAAGATACTTTCAAGATGGTTTACCAGTATATGTTGAATGTTACCTAATTTCATGTGATGCAGATAATATCTGTGATATTTCCATTTGAAGGACCCCCACTGCTTAGTCACAGTGCGACATTGAAGCAAATTGCAGTTTACAATGCTGCCCAGGACACTGTTAACGTGAAAAGATCCAACCTGAGCATAGAGAATGGATGTTAATGCCTGTTTTTACTGCCTCGCTGTTCCTCTACTGCTTATTGTAGGCAAGATTTCCAAAAGCGCTTGGTTGACTTAAAACTGCAACTCTTACTGAGGTTTCTGAAAACTCATTATTCACTCAAGAATGGTGGTGATTTTGAAAGCTGTTGGGAAACTAATGTATAAACGTTGCAGATCAGAATGTGGAGCCCTAGTACAGCTTCCCGGCTTCTTACTGAATGCTTCACGAGAGACATTTAAGACTGTAATAGTAGTTTTATAATGTTGACCTATTGTAAAATCTTTTTGATAATAAAGATGTGGCCAGTGTTTGATTGTATTAAGCTTACAGGTACGTGCACTAAGTATAAATGTGTCGACATTCTTCTGTGTTCATGAAATAAATCTAACTGTCATCTCTTTTCTTTTAAGGAAATGATCATCGACAAGGTTAATGGACAGGTTGTCCCTCGGTACTTGATATATGACATTATTAAGTTTAATGTAAGTACTTTCACTTTTATTGCTTTTATCATTAGTTATTGATTCTCATTTCTATTTTAATCTTATTTGTATAAGAGCTTCAGAGTGAATTTAAACACCAGGAGTGCTTGAGTATTTTGTAGCTTGATAACAAGCAATGCATCAGAATTAAGATTGAAATCAGCCTTATAATAGATGTTGATTTATTTCCAGCTGCTCAAGAAAAGGTGGTGGTTTGAAACAGTCTGCTAAACACCATTTGAAACTGTTCTGTTTCTTGAGCATGCTTGAACTGTATAGGCAGTGAAATTGAGAGGGGAAGGAGAAGTTTGCCTGCAAGTGGTGTATTTGTTACCAGAGCATCACAGTGCTCCTTGTTAGGCTGCTCCATCACCTCCTTCTCAGATTTCTCTTTGAACCCAGGCAACTTGTCCTCTGTGAAGTCCTCAGCAGCAGCCTCCCTGTTTACACTGGCTGCAGGGCAAATATTTCATAAAGAAACAGATTTTGGAAGTTGTGGAAAAGGAGAAGCCTTTGTTGACAGCTAGCAGTAAAGTCTTTGTCATCACAAGAAAGAGCTGTTACATAGGACAGAAAATGAGAAACTTTTTTCTTTAAAGCAGCTTTCAAATATGGGAAAGGTTTGAATGGCACCAAAGGACTCTTGCATATTATCTTTTATAGATTTTTTTTTTTCTCCTCTTGTATTTTTCCCCAAACAGTCATGGTATATGTGGAATTTGAAGCTAGTCAAGCTTCAAATGGTCAGAGTCTCCTACTGAAGCTTATTTGAAGAACTAACCTTAATAGCATGTTCCATTGGTTAGCCCATATTATGAAATAAATTTTCTAGTGATTTCTCTGTTATGTCTAAGGAAAAGAAGATGTTCTTTCAGGAAGGATCAGTTTAACCATATATATTTATTTAAAACAATATTTAAAATTTGTGACAACAGAAAGTATGTACTGGTTTTGGTTAGGACAGATAATTTTCTTCATAGTAACTCATATGGTGCTGCATTTTGGATTTGTGACCTAAACATTGGTTTTGGCTAATGCTGAGCAGTGCTTGTGCAGCATCAAGCCCTTTTCTGTTTGGATTCACACTGCTCATTCTAAGGGGAGTGAGTGTGTGGCTGCATGAGGCTCAGCTACCTCCTGTAGTTAACCCACAATGTGTTATATCCAACCACTAGACCTGTGACTAATATCCTATGGAAAAACACTCTGGTATCTGTTGAATGCTTCTGGAAATAAACAAAATTATTGTTTCAGTGCTCCTAGCAGGACAAACAGTGTTACTAAACCACAGTGCATTTCAGACTTCCTAAACTACCATTAACTCCTTCAGACTTGAGCAAGATACTGCTCAACACGAGTAGGCCACTCAGCGTAAGTGGGAATTGCAAATCTAATTATGGTAGTAGTCACCAAAAATTACATGGGTATTCTTTGAAGTGTAGTCACAGAATCACAGAACGTTAGGGATT